GTCGATATCTAAATATGTTTCATATTTATTGAATTTCCATTGAAATTTTCTTATGATTGAGAGCTTAAAAATATGTCCAACCTATGCAGACGGTGTTATTGATTGGATTAGTTGGATGTTGGTAGCCAGTTTTGCAGTTGCATTCGTAATCTCCATTCCCAACTATACAACTGGAAATCGTGTTGTTGCATAAGTTTGGAAAAACATTGCACACACTGTTGACTGTAAATAAATTAAATTAGACGGAACTTATTTCCAAAATATTTGCAAATGTTTAAAGTTCCATACCCAGCTGACAGTAATCGTTGTAGAAATATTTCATGTAGCCAATCCTACAAACGCATTCCGTCATGACGGTCGATCCAATTTGGAATGAGGAGCATGGGTGGATGCCACAATCACCGTTGTTGACGTTGCAATCTTCAATTTTCCGAAAATAAATTCTATAAAAATTTAGTAATAAGCTCGCCTAAAAATTATTTAAAAGTCTTCCTACTAAATAACTGCAGTAGTAATTTTTTGACAATTACTTCTCAGATCACAGGCAGGTCCATACCATCCAGGCAGACAACTTGACGGATTACACGTCATATCTGGTGTCAGACTGTTTGGAGTGGTACAATGGTGGACTTGTGAGCAGCTTTGCCTTGTCCCGAGTTTGTTGCAAACTGATTGGTTGACGGTAACAATTGAGTTATTAAATATTTTATAATCTTGAAGAGATTAATAGTTTGTTTGATTTCTCAATGTCAAAAATTTAAAAACAACTAAAATAAAAAGTGCCAACGTGAATAGATGTTGTTGCTTGAGGGTCCTCCGCAATATTCTGTCAATGGCAGTCCCCCGCATGCTGAATTGCAAACATTATCTAAGACCTTTCCATGCTTTCCGTAAGAGTCTCCACAATAACAAAATGTGCTGCTCTAGTCGTAGTAATTTAAAAAAAATTTTAATTCCAATTCTCTTTTCATTATTTTACAGGAGTATCATCCCAAAACACACAACACATGTGAATCAACTCAACACACACACTCTACATGTGTGATGGCAGGAATCTACCTGCATTCGAACCTGGCCATTGCA